AGTCCGCAGCTCCGACCATCTCTGTACTCACTGTTTTCGTTCAGGTTTTTCCACTAGTTGGTGTCTAATCCACTTCTGTATAGTTCCTTTCAAAGCTCAGAGTTCCAGGCTTATCTTCTGTATCTCTGTCAACTGGATTTTCTTTTCCTTGTTTAAGAGGGTCTATGTCGCTTTTCTGCCTATTCCTCCATCTTACCCGAAGTCCTTTTGTTGTTGTTGTTATGTGCCGTCGAGTCAGCCCCAACTCATAGCAACCCCTCCTTGGGTTGCCCAGTCAGTATCACTACAGAAGTAGATTGCCCAACCTTCCTTCCGAGGAGTGGCTGGTGGATTTGAACCTCCAGCCTTCTGGTTAACAGTCAAGTGCTTTAGGCACTATGCTACCAGAGCCTTTTAATTAAAGTTTTGTCGATCTTAATTCCTGTTTTTCTTTTCTTCTTTTGAGCTGGTATGTAAACATATCTATACATTTTTCAGTTTTCACCTATTTTTTTTAATTGTCTTCCCCTATACCTTTTGTTTTTTTGTCTTCCCCTTCGCCTGACTTAATATATTTCTTCCCTTTAGGTAGTTTATTACCCCTTCCTCTCCCACCCCTGGTAATCATCAAAGAATATTTTGTTTTATATGAAACTCTTTTCTTGACTTTTTGTAATAGTGGTCTCATATAATATTTCTACTTTTGTGATTGTCTGATTTCCCTTAGCATAATGTCCTCTAAGTTCAGAAAACTTATTTTAAACTGCCTCTGTCTTCTTTTAGTCCAAGCTGATAGTGCTTTCATTAGTACAACTCTTTTTTAAAACTATGAATTTGTTTAGGGTTCACTCCATAATTACCCTCATGTTATTTCTTCCTCATTTATCCTTCTCTTTGGTGCTAGCCTGTTCATCGTAATCTGAGGAAAGAACTGTCCCCTTTCTACCTCTGGAACTTTGTTCTCTTTTTCTCTTTATCTGAAACATTCTAGTTTTGTATCTAGCACTTCACCTTGTGACTAATTAAGGAGTATAAGTAAAATTGAATTTTCTCTTAATACTATGATGCTTTTCTTAAGAAACAGTGGAACCTCTAAAGTAATGTTTGGGACTATTTGCACTGAGCCCACGCTAGCCCTTCTAACACACTGGAAACCTTGGTATCACCTGAGTGATAATACACTCCCTGTCTCCTGCACACCCCTCACAGACATATATAGATATATATACCCATACCGCTCTGGGGTGAGTTTTAGAACAAGGTTCAGAAAACTACAGACCATGAGCCAAATAACAGCCAACCATTTGTTTTTGCTTTGCCCGTGAGCTAAATTTTTTTTTTTCTTAATTTTCCTAAATGGTTAAAGATTTTCACCTTAGGAACATGACAAAGACAACTTATTCCTAAAAGGGATTACAACTACAAGCATAGAGATTAGGATTTATACACATATTTTTGAGGGACACAATTGAATTCATAACACTCCTGTTCTGGAATGATTAGACATCTGTGCAAAGCTCTTTTTTAATCTTCTAGACAATACCTTCTAATATGATTGTTCTGCTGCTCATCTGTCAGTTTGTTGTACTGTGGTAGCTTGCGTGTTGTTGCGAGATTGGAGCCTATGCCACTGGTTTTTCAAATACAAACGGGGTCACTCATGGACAGGTTTCAGCGGAGCTTCCAGACTAAGACAGACTGGGAAGAAGGATGGGGCCATCCACTTTTGAAACAATTGGCCACATATATTAGTGGGAAACTTTATGAATAGCCTTGAAACGTTGTCTGATCTAGTGCTGGAAGATGAGCCCCTCAGGTTGGAAAGCACTCAAAGTACAAGTGGGGAAGAGCTGCCTCCTCAAAGTAGAGTCGACCTTAATAACCTGGATAGAGTTGAGCTTTTGGGACCTCCGTTTCCTGGTGGGCATTACTCAGGACGGGAAGAAACAATTGCAAACATACGTTAATAATCAGAATGTGAAATGTATGAAATATGAATCTAGGAAAATTGGAAGTTGTTGAAAATGAAATGGGACACGTAAAGATTGATATCTTAGACATTAGTGAGCTGCAATAGACTAGTACTGAATCAGACAACCATATGATCTACTATGCCATGAATGACAAATTGAAGAGGAATGGCATCCCATTCACTGGCACAAAGAATGTTTGAAGATCTATCTTGAAGTACATTGCTGTCAGTGATAGGATAATATCCATATACTTACAAGGGATGCTAGTTAATACTATGATTATTCAAATTTACACGCCAACCAGCAAAGTTATTTAGATGAAGAAATTGAAGATTTCTGAAATTGAGCATACATGCAATCAAGGTGTATCAGTGATTATTGGTGCTTGGAATGTGAAAGTTAGAAACAAAGATGAATCACTGGAAATTGGAAAATATGGCCATGGTGATAGAAATGATGCTGAAGATCACATGATAGGATTCTGCAAGCCCGAGAACTTATTGCAAATATCTGTTTTCAACAGTTATATAAGTTCACCTAGCCCAGTAGACTACAGGGGAATCAGATCAACTACGTCTGTGCAAAGAGGTGATGGAGAAGCATGATATAATTAGTCAAAACAAGGCCAGGAGCTGTGGAACAGACCATCCAATTCCTCATATGCAAGTTCAAGCTGAAGCTGAAAAAAATTAAAACAATTTCATGAGAGCCAAAATAATTATATTCCACCTGAATTTAGAGATCGTCTGAAGAATACATGTGACATATTGAACAGCAGTGACTGAAAACCAGACACATTTTGGGATAACATCAAGAACATCATATGTGAAGAATGCATACAGTCATTAAAGAGACAGGAGAGGAAAATAAAGATCAAAATGGATGTCAGAAGAGACTCTGAAACTTGCTCTTGAACGTAGGGTAGATAAAGTGAATGAAAAAAATGATGAGATAAAAGTTTTGAACAGAGCATTTCAAAGGACAGCTTGAGAAGACAAAAGTAAAGTATTATAATGAAATGTGGATAGATGTGGAGTTAGAAAACCAAAAGAGAAGAAGACACTCAGCATTTCTCAGGCTGAAAGAACTGAAGAAAAAGTTCAATTCTCAAATTGCAATATTGAAAGATTCTATAGGTGAAATATTGAATGATGCAGGAAGCATCAAAAGAAGATGGTACACAGAGCCCTTGAACCAAAAGAATTGATGAATATTCAGCTATTTCAGCAGGTAGCATAGGAGGGAGAACCAATGGTTTTGAAAGAATTCCAAGCTGCACGGAAGGAATTGGTGAAAAACAAGGCTCTAGGAATTGGTAGAATATAAGCACTTAAATATTTCAACAAAGCCATGCAGCACTGGAGGCACTTCCTGGTCTGTGCCAAGAAAGTTGGAAGACTGCTGCCCGGCCAACTGACTGGATGAGATTGATATTGGTGGCCGTTCCAAAGAAAGGTGATCCAACAGAATGTGGAAATTATCAAACAATATCATTACTATTACATACATATAAAATTTTGCAGCAGTGTATCAACAGGGAAATTCTAGTAATGCAAGCCAGATTCAGAAGAGAACATTGAACGAGGGATATCATTGTATATGTCAAATGGATCTTGGCTGAAAGCAAAAAATACCAAAAAGATGTTTACCTATGTCTTCTTGACTGTGCAAAGGCATTTGACTCTGTGGATCATAAGAAATTATGGATAACATTGCAAAGAATGGAAATTCTAGAACACTTAATTATGCTTACGAGGAACCTGTACATAGACCAAGAGGCTGTTGTTCAAACAGAACAAGGGGATATTGCATGATTTAAAATCAGGAGGGGTGTACATCAGGGTTGTGTCCTTTCACCATACTTATACTCCAGCTGTATGCTGAGCAGATAAGCTGAGATGCTGGAGTATATGAAGAAGAACATGGCATCAGCATTGGAAGAAGACTCATTAGCAATATGCAAATGACACAACCTTGCTTACTGAAATTGAAGATGGCTAAAGCACTTGCAGGAGCTCTGGTAGCATAGTGCCTAAGGCACTTGACTGCTAACCAGAAGGCTGGTGGTTCAAACCCACCAGCCCCTCCTTGGAAGGAAGGTTGGGCAATCCTACTTCCGTAGTGATACTGCCTCGGAAACCCAAGGAGGGGTCGCTATGAGTCGGGGCCGACGCGATGGCAAATAACAACAACAGAAGCACTTGCTGATGAAGATCATAGATTACAGTTGTTCATATGGATTTTACCTCACCATTAAACAAAAATCGTTACAACTGGACCAATAAGCAGCATCACAATAATTGAAGAAAAGATTGAAGTTATCAGGGGTTTCATTTTACTTGGATCCACAATCAACACCTGTGGAAGCCAAACCAACTCACTGCCTTCAAATCAGATCTGACTCACAGTGACCCCTCCGCGGGTTTCCGAGATGCTATCAGTAAGGAAGTAGATTGCCTAACCTTCCTTCTGAGGAGTAGTTGGTGGGTTTGAACCGCCAGCCCTCTGGCTAGCAGTCACATGCCTTAAACACTACACTACCAGAACTCCTCCTATGGAAGAGCAGTCAAGAAATCAGGCATTGTATTGCACATCTAAAGAATAGATTTGATGCATTGAACACCAGTGACCGAAAGCCAGATGAATTGTGGGAAGATATCAAGAACATTATCCATGAAGAAAGCAAGA